TCCTGGGTGGATTTCAGGGAACATGCTCCTGCCATCTTTGAGAAACTGAGGACATAACACAGTGTGTTTGAAACAAAGCTGATTTATTTGTTGTTTTAAAATAACGACTTCCAGTCACATCACAGTGCCATTAACCTCAGAAAGAAAACAAAACCCAATTCTCTGAATTAATCTGTTTCAGTTATGAATGTGATTAACTGCAGCAACAACAGCAGAATCCAATTTCCGTCACCACTTATGAACTCATTGGTGTATCAGTGGGTAAGGATGTCTAAGGGAATCCCTTTTCAGACACAGAGCAGGTGAATGCGCTCTCCCCAGTGTAACCTCACTGGTTTCTCAGCAGGCTTTGTGTAGTTGCTCACACAGCAACTGATTAGCTTATTCCTCATTGCGAGTGTGTTTGTAGCTCAGCAGATCACTGTTCTTAACACACTTCACACAGCCAGAACATTGAAAATGTCTTTGATCAATGTGAACAAGTTGGTGCGAAGTGAAGCAGGTTAAACAAGTGATTCCTTCCCCAATACAAACTTATTGGTGTCTCAGCAGAGTTCTTGACTTAGCGAAACTCTTTGCATATATGAACACGCTGATGCTAAATAAGGGGTTGAGCAACAAATGTTGTCTTCCTGTGGAGAGCAATCCAACAGTCATTCCTCACTCTGAAATTACAGTTCAGCATATCTCTGGTGCTTTAAAATATTCTAAGTATGAGATGAGCTTTAAAGTATTCTTTTTAATTCGTGTGAATCCGTTCATAGATTTACAGAAAATTTACAGCGCAGGAAGGGACCACTTCTCATTGTGTCTGCACTGGCCAACAAACAAACATCCATCCAACCTCACCCACTTTCTGACATTGTGTCTGTAGCCCTGCAGGTTCTAGCACTCGAGCTGCAGATCCAGACACCTTTTAAATGTGTTCAGGGTTTCTACCTCCACTCCCCTTTCAGATAGTGACTTCCAGACCCTGACTACAGATGCCGATAAATCTGCTGAAATTTTCCAGCAATTTCTGCTTTTGTTTCGCCAATTATCTGGCTTATCTCAAAGAGAAGTGCTTGCACTAAGAAACTGCTGAGGTCCTGGAAGAGAAGGATCCTGTGATGAAATACTTTGGAGAGAATATATCACTTTCAACAGTTCAAGAAGACAGCTCACCACTACCTTCTCAAGAACAATTAGGGATGAGCAATCAGTGTTGGTCAGTGATGAAGGAGTGAAATAAAACAGCTGCTAATAGTCAAAGACAATGTGTTGTTTGTGATAGCAGCCCATGTGATGACAAGGCCCAGTGTATGGGGGTGGGGTAAGGACATGGGGAAAGGTACTCCAGCCCAAAAAGGTAGCGTGGCTGAGTGGTCTAAGGTGCTGGATTTAAGCTCCAGTCTCTATTGGGTTGTGGGTTTGTATCCCACTGCGAGCAATAATCACTTGTGATGTACCCTAGTGGAAGCTGGGCAATGTCAATGTTTTTTGGCACAGTGGTTAGCACTGCTGCCTCACACTGCCAGGGAGCTGGGTTCGATTCCACCCTCGGGTGACTATCTGTGTGGAGTTTGCGCATTCTCCCCGTGTCTGCGTGGGTTTCCTCCGGGTGCTCCAGTTTCCTCCCACATTCCAAAGACGTGCAGGCAAGGTGGATTGGCCATGATAAATTGCCCGTAGTGTCAGAGATGTGTAGATTAGGTGGGTCATGGGGGATGGGTCTGGGTGGGATGCTCTGTGGTTCGGTGTGGACTTGTTGGGTCGATGGGCCTGTTTCCACACTGTAGGGATTCTATGAAAAGAGGAGACTATTTGTCCTTTAGTCTGGGTCTAACTGAAATGCTGAGCAGTCTCAAAGGGGCTGAATGACCTATTCCAGTTTTTCTGTACATTCTCCCCAGACATCCCCCACTCACAAACTTTGCTCAAGGTCTGGTTTCCTGT